GAAGAAATCAACATTGTAGCAAACAGTATTACAACTTGCAAGAATTCCATTTAAAGGAGAGAATAGCGCATAAAACTGATTACATGTATCAATATAGAACAACGGAGATTTCCTAGTAACGTATTGAGGCACATTAAATTTAATAAGATCTAAAATTCCAGGACAGTCACAAATATTGTTTAAAATTTTATACATAAAACAGATTTTTAAATAAGTTCTGCGATCATTTAATTTACTTAACCCTAAATAAGCCATTGACATGTCAGGAGATTTACAGATATTGAGAGGAAGACGACGAGATATATACTTGACAAATTTAATTTGAACTAACTCAAGTCTATCAACATATGTTTTGTAACAGGGAGCCCACACTACGCGTCCATACTCTAGAATGGAGCGTACATATGTAGTATACAAAATTACCAAAGTACGTAAGTTATTGAAATCTTTGCAGTACCTTTTAATGCATCCTAGCATTCTGTTTGCTCTAGCTACTATGTGCTCATGATGGGATTTAAAAGAAAGCTTGCTATCCAAAAATATACCCAGGTCCTTGATCAAATATGACACTTTAAGAATTTTCCCATTAAGTAAAAGGGCTTGTTTGATCTATAGACCAGACAGCACTCAGGCCAATATCGACTCTAAGCGATTCGATCTATAAGCCGACTTTCGTTAGAGTTGATCTGACTGATACACATCCACTGCAAGGAACTAACCGATTTTAACCATCTGGTCGGACTTTACAACGAATAAGTGAAGCTATTAACGATTTAATACATACTATTTCCATTTTGGGCTTTTTCAATTTTTTCATTTTTCAAATTTTCGATTTCTCGATTTTTTTATTTATCGAATTCTCAATTTGACGATGTTTTAGTTTTACGATTCCTCAATTTTTCTCCTCTTCAATTTTACGATTTTTAAACATTGTGATTTTTTTTAAAGTTTTCAATTTTTTGAAATTATTTGCTTTGTCGATTTCTAGATTTTTCACCTTTTTAATTTCTCAATTTTTGGGTTTATTTCAATTCTGGGATTTTTGAAATTTCGATTCTTCAATTTTTCTTCTATTTTTCAATTTTTCGATATTTCCGCTTTGGGATTTTTCAGTACTTCGATCCTTCGACTTTTCGATTTTTTGACTCGCGGATTTTTTACTTTTTGGATTTTCAGTTTCTCATTTTATTATTTTAAATTTTTTAGTTTTTCGACTGTTTAATATTACGGTTTCTCAATTTTTCAACTTTTCGATACTTTAATTTTTCAATTTTTGAAAATTATAGCTTTTTTATTTCTCGGCTTTTCAGTTCTTCTATATTTCAATTTTTCAATTATCTGAATTTTTAAATTTTCGATTTTCCAATTTTTCTTTTTTAAAGTATTTCGATTTTTCAATCTTTTTTGTTTCTTAATTTTTGGATATTTCTTCTAGTTTTGGGTTTTTTCAATTTTTTGAATTCTTCAATTTTTCTTATATTTTTTAATTTTTCGATATTTCAATTTTGAGATATTTCACTAGTTCGATTCTTCGATTTTTAGATTTTTGACTTCTGGATTTTTTGATTCCTCGATTTTGTACATTTTGAATTTTCAATTTTTCGACTCTTTTATACTTCGATTTCTCAATTTTTTAACTTCTCAACTTTTCAATTTTAAAATTTTCGATTTTTCAAATTTTCGATTCGGACATTTCGATGTTTTCATTGTTCATTTTCTTGATTTATCAATTTTTCCACTTATAACTTTTTCGAATTTTTACTTTTTATTTCCAATTTTTCGATGTTCCAATCTTTCAATTTTTTAAATTTTGGAGTTTCAATTTCTCGATTTTTCAGTTTTTGGATTTCCAAATTTTAGGAATCCGATTTTGTATTTTTTTATATTTGAATTTCTCGAGTTTTCAATTTTGCGGTTTAACAATTTTTTTTTTGTTTTAATTTTTTTCCACCTTGGTTTTTCGATTTTTAAAATATATTTCAACTTCTCTGGTTTTAGATTTCTCGTTTTTGCAAGTTTTCAATATGTTAATTTTTCAATTTGTAAATTTTGGATATTGCGATTTTTCCAGTTTTCAGTTCTTCTATATTTCAGTTTTTTAATTTTTAAGTTCATGCGTTTTTACCGATTATAGAATCTTTGAAATATTTGGAACAGAATTTTAAAAACTTTTAACGTTTGAGTCCTTAGAGTATTTAGAGTCTTTAGAGTTTTCAGAATCCTTAGAGTCTTAACAATACATATCTGGAAATTTCGATACTTCAGAATTACAGGAAATTTTATAAAGTTTAGAATTTTTACAATTTCTAGGAACATTAATAGTTCCAACATCTTTACAATTTTGAAGATTTTGTTCGATGTTTCTTCTATTTAGAACCTAAAACTTTAGTTTATTTAGCACCTTTGGTGACTTTACAATTTGTATGTAAATATTTCAAACATTTGGAAACTTCGAAATTTTTTGAATGTCTACAATCTTAAGGTTTTGTAAACTTTTGAAATTTTGAGATTTAATATTTTTTTATTTTCTTTTAATTTTTGAGAATTTTCGTAATTTGCAAAAATTTCAAATTTTTCAGAATGTTCAGACTTTCCCGATTAGCCCAATTTTTCAGATTTTCGGAAGTACACAAAATAACCAAAAGTTTGCAAAATTTATAAAATTATCAGGCTCCAATTATACCGGAATTTTGAAATTCAAGCTTTTCCAATATTTTCAAGATTTTTACCTCTACCACATTTTTTCCACGTTTTCTAAATTGTTTAAATTGTTTTAGATTTTATAAAATTTAAAGATCTCAAGAGTCTAAATCTTTGGAATTTTGTGAATCTCTGGAATCTTTACAGTCTCCAAGATTTATAAGATAATAATCAAGGCCTTCAGTGCTTTCAGGATTTATAAAAATTTAAAAAAGCATTTTTCCGATCTTTACGATTTTTAGGTCTTTCAGATTTTTGTTTTCTTTGGAATTTTTAAAATCTTTGTCATTTTGAGAGTTCACCCGATTTTTACAAGTTTCAGAATATTTGGCTTTTTGGAATTTCTCTAAAACCTTTAGAATCTTTCAAGTATTGGAAACAGAATTTTGAACACTTTGGGAATTACGAGGAGTTTTATAAAGGCTAAATTTCTGCAATTTCTAGGATCATTAGTTCCTTAAAATTTTAAAGATTTTGTTGCATCTTTTTTATATTTAGAACATTAGAACTTTAGTTTATTTAGAGTCTTAAGTGTCTTCACAATTCCCAATTTCTATTGTATGTAATCCATCAAAGCTTTTATCCTTTATGAATCTTTCAAACCACCGGAAACTCTAGAATCTTTAGAACCTCTAGACACTAGAATCACTAGAATTTCTATAATCTTTAGAGCTTTCAGATTTGCATTATTTTTACATATTTCAGTGTCTTTAGAATTTCAAATATTTTTAGAACTTTATGATTTTTATCATCTTTCCAATTTTTAAATATTTGGAATTTGTGGAATCTTCGGAATTTTTTAAATCCCTGAAACCCCTTTAGAATTTTTAAATTACTGGCTTCTCCAACTTTGACATATATATTATAAATTTTGCTTAACAATTTACCATGATGAAAAATTCTGGATGTCTAGGATGAAAATTCGAGTCGGATTCACACACAAGTGCAGTACTTTCGGAGATTACTAGTATAATAGAAATTGATGTAGACACCAGATAGACAGACAGACAGACAGACAGACACACCAACAGACAGACAGACGGAAACGGGAGACCACCATAAATGAATGATTCATGTCGTCGTAAAAAAGAGGTTTATTATCATCAGCTACAAAAACTGACGAAAAGAATCTGGTAAATACATACGTCACAAATTTCAGGACCACCTTGAACACTCCCACCAACTTTTCTTCGATGATTATACTTGTTAGCATTATTTTAATATAAGAATTATAAAATCTATTACTGATATCTTTGCATTGTCCACTAATTGCCTAATTTTTAATAACAAAACAATGATAAGCTTTAAATCTTCATTGGATACTCGTATTTTCCCATTTAACCATATTTCAGTTATATGTAATAACAATAGATGAAGATTTTTGCATGGCAACTTGTGAGCAACATAATTTATAATCGAGCCATCCTTGAAAAAGATTTGGTATGTCCGTCATTACACCACAGAAAAGAAGAAATGTTAATTCCATATGACCGTTCTTAAATTCACAGCGAGATTGATTAATAAATTGACGCTATAATTTAACTTAAATGTAATAAATTTAAATCAGAGTTAAAAGTCAGTTTGTTAAAAAAAACTTGTCAAGTAGGCTTTAAAAATGAATCGTAGTGTAAACGAACTCTGTGGAGATAGCGATGAGAAAGCTGACCCAAAAAAGTCAATGTTAAAACTACAGAAAAACTTGTTTTGAATTTTTTTATGTTGTTTTTTTAATAATGTTTCGCGTTTTTTAACGCGAGGAACGAGTTTGAAAGTATTAAAATGACATAATATTAAATTTTTTTGTATTGTTTTTATCGAAACTGATATTTTGCACTTTTCGAGACAATTTTCGAACACCTAGTAGAAAAAAAAAAATAAACTAAAGAGTTTAGACCGTAGGTACTTCCCTCGCTGCGATCACGTCATCAACATTTTTGCAAGGACACCTATATCAGTTTGGATAGATGTAGTGTAATACTAAAAATAACGAAACAGTTTACTCACGTATGTTGCGTGTATTAGCAGAGACGACTGAAAATCATTTATGTGTAAGCATTCTTAATTTAAGACAAAAAACGATACTTGTTGAGATTGTATACGTGAGAGTCAAACAGAGAAAGAGTAAGCAATACCGATGGCCCTCCAGACTTTTTTATTGCTTCGACTTCCGCTTATTATATAAATGTCATGCAAAATTTCCATGAACTTTTTGATCTTTGTTCTTCCAGTGATAAAAACTCGTCTTCTGTTTTTTAGCACAACATTATAATTTATAATTTGTTGTCATTTTTTACATGCACTTTTAAATATGTTTAGAGGCTGTTAGTTCAGAACAGGTTTAAGGTAAGTACGTTTCACTACTAGACAACGTGCTGTTGCATACAGTACTTCAAAATTCGAGTCAACGCAATAAAAAATGTCGAACGACAAAACACCCGATTTATTTGATAAACCTGCAAGACAATATAATAGTAGTGGAAGAGCACTGGCTGAAGATGCGATTCGTCTGCAAAAATGGTTAGAAACACAACCCCATCTTCCAAAAATGTTGGGTAAGTTTATAACACACTCTTACGAATAAAACACAGTTCGATTCTAGATACACAGGCTGTCAAAAATTTTTTACTCCTCAATAAATGTAGTTTTGAGATTACGAAGCAAAAAATCGACAACTATTATTCCGTCAGGGCAAAAGTACCAGATATAGCTTTCGAAATCAATCCGAAACGTCCCTGCCACCAAGAGTTTAACGATATGGTGTAAACAGTGTCAAAATTAGCGCAAAAATTTATCATTTGTAAGTGTAAAATTTTAGATATTTCGTGGATTACCCTCAACTAACCGACGAAATGTACAAAATCACTTACTTCAAAGCAAAAGGAGGATTTCTACCAGACAATTACGAACCTATAAATATCCCAAGAAAATATTTTATTATGCAGGAGCTTAAACTGAGATACGATGTCATGCATGGGGATATTCTGGTCTTCGACTGCAAAGGACACACCTTAAATATCGCCCTTAAAGTCACACCAGTGTTGGCTTACAAAACTATAGTTCTGCTTTATCAAGTAAATCAAACCGGGATTAATTAGGTATACACAAAATATTAGATTTTTCAAATTTTAGCAAGTTTTCTCTATACGAATTAAGGCCGTGCACTTGATAAACATGCCACCAATTTTGAAAACCGTCTTGAATTTAGTAAAAAGCCTCTTGAGTCCAAAACTTGCCGCAAGGGTAAATGTAGATTTTGAAGACAACGATAGACTAATTTCAATTTTTGTTGAAGATTTATGTTCACGGAGACGAAAATATTTTGAAGAAACTCATTCCTCTGAACTTGCTTCCTGTCGATTTTGGAGGAGATGGATTATCCTTGGAAGAATTGGAAGGTAATTCCATTGGAAAATAAATGTGAGAAAGCCAATAGTGGAAATTTTAGGTATCCTTAAAGCAAGGTGTGCGAAAAACCAGGAGTTGTTTGAGCGTTTGGGTGAAATTAAAGTTGATGAAAATTTGAGACCGGAGAAGCTGGAGGACGACGACACTTTAGGGGTTTATGGTAGTTTTAAGAAACTTGAAATCGATTAAACCATTTTTTTAATGTACTCAATTCTGTAACAAAATTTTGTCTTAAAATCGACTCTTCTTCCGAATCTTATTAAAAAAAAAGTTATAACTTCATGTAAGTATACAGAATTCGTCATTTAACAGGTACCTTTTTAATGGTTAGAACCACAAGCGCTCTAAAAAATGAATGGAAAAGGTCCTTAGTTCAAGGAATCTCACGAAGTGGTGTAAACGAACTCCGTGAGCAAAAAGTAGTCAATGTTAAAATTATTTTTAAATTATAGGTAAACTTGTTTTGAATTAAAATACATGAGGAACAAGTTTGAGAGAAATTGTTAAAATCACATAATATTAAAATTTTTAATACTTTACGTTTTCTCGATCTTTCATTACCCCTACAGGACGAAGAAATAGGTCTTCCGTTTCCGTATCTCCGTCTGTCCGTATCTCCGTCTGTCTGTCCGTCTGTCTGCCGTCCCAGTTTTTATTAGACAGATAATCTCCGAAAGTACTGGACCGATTGTTGTGAAATTTTGTACTTATATTAAGAATATCATATAGGTGGTAAAACGCTAACTAAAATTTGTCTAATCATCCCCACCACTAACGCGATGACGTCACTTCAGAATTGTACATAGTAAATGGGTTTTAAATTGTATGAAATAAGATAGTCCTACACATGTAGTTTACGACTCCGAATTGAGTTTTTACTCTAAACCTCTCAGAATTTTACCGAAAAAATCCTTTCGGGAATGTGCAAAACATGATCGGACTATACCTGTAATTTTCATTGAATTCATATTGTTTGATGTTTGGATTTTTTGATTTTTCAATTTTGCGATTTCTTAATTGTTCAATGTTTTAAATTTTAGACTTTTCAATTTCCCGATTTTCTAAATTTTCACATTTTTGACGTTACTAAATTTTCAGTTTTCCGATTTCTCAATTTTTTTGAGTTTCCCACTTCTCGACTTCGCCAAATTTCGAATTTTCAGTTCTTCTTCTTCGAATTTTCGACTTTGTTTTTTTGGTTCTTCGATTTCTCAATTTTCCAATTTTTTTATTTCTCAATTTTTGTTTCAATATTTCGTTTTCGTTTTGGACTACTGGATTTTTCTATTTTTTATTTTTTGGATTTTCAGTATTTCGTTTTTTAAATTTTAGATTTTTACATTTTTCGACTGATTTGTATTTCGATTTATCAATTTTTCAAGTTTTCGATATTTTAATTATTCGTTTTTAAAATTCTAGATTTTTGGATTTCTCGAGTTTTCAGATCTATATTTTAATTTTTCAATTTTCCGAATTTTAACATTATTTGAGATTTCGATTTATCGAGATTCGGATGTTTCGATGTTTTGAGATTTGTGGATTTTTAGATTTTCGGATTTTTGAATTTTTGGATTTCTTGAATTCTCCAAAATGTCCAGATTTTTTGGATTTTTTAAAATTTTCGGATTTTTTGGATTTTTCAAAATTTCCAGATTTTTTGAATTTTCCAAAATTTCCAGTTTCTTTTAGATTTTTCAAAATTTCCAGATTTTTTGGATTTTTCAAAATTTGCGGATTTTTTAATTCTCCAAAATTTCCAGATTTTTTGGATTTTTCAAAATTTTCGAATTTGTTTAATTTTCCAGTGTTTTTAGATTTTTCAAAATTTTCAGATTTTTTTTATTTTTTTTAAATTTCCAGTGTTTTGTATTTTTCAAAAATTATCAGATTTTTTGGGAACTTCAAAATTTCTGGATTTTTCAAATATTTTAGATTTTTGGATTTTTAGTGTTTCGTTTGGGTGTTTGAATTTTACAGATTTCTTAAATTTTCCAAAATTTACGGATTTCTTGGATTTTCGTAAATTTTCAGATTTTTTGGAATTTTCAGAATTTCCAGATTTTATGGATTTTTTTAAATTTTCGGATTTTTCAAATTATCCAGTTTTTGCATTTTTAAAAATTTTCGAATTTTTCAAATATTTACAGGCTTTTTGGATTTTTTAAATTTTCGGATTTTTTGGATTTTTCAACATTTCCAGATTTTTTGAATTTTCCAAAATTTCCAGTTTTTTTTTAATTTTTTCAAATTTCCAGATTTTTTGGATTTTTCAAAATTTACGGATTTTTGAATTCTCCAAAATTTCCAGATATTTTGGATTTTTCAAAATTTTCGAATTTTTTAAATTTTCCAGTGTTTTTAGATTTTTAAAATATTTAAGATTTTTTTGATTCTTTTAAAATTTCCAGTGTTTTGTATTTTTCAAAAATTATCAGATTTTTTGGGAACTTCAAAATTTCTGGATTTTTCAAATTTTTTGGATTTTTGGATTTTCAGTGTTTTGTTTGGGTATTTGAATTTTCCAGATTTCTTGGATTTTCCTAAATTGTCAGATTTTTTATAATTTCCAGATTTTTTGGATTTTCTAAAATTTTCGGATTTTTCAAATTATCCAGTTTTTGGATTTTTCAAAATTTCCAGATTTTTTGAATTTTCCAAAATTTCCAGTTTTTTTTGGATTTTTCAAAATTCCCAAATTTTTTGGATTTTTCAAAATTTACGGATTTTTCAATTCTCCAAAATTTCCAGATTTTTTGAACTTTAAAAATTTTCGAATTTAAATTTTCCAGTGTTTTTGGATTTTTCAAAATTTTCGGATTTTTCAAAATTTCCAGATTTTTTGGATTTTTTAAAAATTTCGAATTTTCCTGAATTTCCAGTTTTTTGGATTTTCCAAAATTTCCAGACTTTTTGGATTTTTCAAAATTTCCAGATTTTTTGAATTTTTCAAAATTTCCATTTATTTGGATTTTTCAAAATTTTTGGAGTTTTTGATTTTTCAAAAATTTTCAGATGTTTTGTAATTTTCAAAATTTTCATTTTTTGGATTTTTTTTAAATTTCCAGAATTTATCAAAATTTTCAGATTTTTTGGATTTATTAAAATTTTCCAATTTTTCAAAATTTTCAGATTTTTTTAATTTTTCAAAATTAAAAAATTTTGGAATTTTTCAAATTTTCTAGTGTTTGGATTTTTCAAAATTTTCAGATTTTTTGAATTTTTCAAAATTTCCATTATTGCATTCCAAATGCAATAATTTCAAAAGTTTGCGATGTATACTTTATTGAAAATATCATTATTATTGTTGATTAAATAAATAAATATATTGACGGATTCATTAATTTTTTTGAGTCACCTTGTATATGCAATGCAAACAATATGAATGGAATGATAAATTACAAGTACAGTTTCATCATATTTTCTACATTTTAGATAAGATTTACTCGGCAAACTTTTCAGGTGACGTCATCAACTTTTTGGAGGGGACAAGTAAATATATTTTGAATAAAAACTTATGCTTATCGTAACTGTAAACCATCTGCAAGATTTCAAAGCATTCGGTTTTGCGGATTCCAAATTAAATGTCAAAATGTTGTTTCCTAATTTTGATTTTTTTTTCCGAAAATCTGTGTAAAACATGTGTAAGACTATGTTATTTGATACAATTTAAAATCCATTTACTATGTACAATTTTGAAGTGACGTCATCACATTAGTGGTGGGGATGATTAGATGTAAAATAGACTTCCTTTGCTTACGCTCGGTAAGTAAAAAAAACAAATAAATTTTATTTTCCGTCATATTGAAGGTGTCCCTTAACTTCGTAGTGTTTAAAATGTTGATGTTTATACATCGGAAGAATGTCACGTAGATATTTGTCTGATTTGAATGGGTTTATCTTTTCAAAACAGGTGACTAAAATTATTCATAAGCCTCAATTAAACAAAATATTCTGTATGTTATTATAATTCTTAACTCTAACTTTACGCATTAATTTTTTTTAGATATGTATTATAATTAAGGAACTATTCTCGAGGCGAAATCTCGGATTTAACATTGTGTCAGTCGGTAGAATGTTGTTAACACGTATGTTGTGATTTACCAAATCTTTAATAATTCTGTGTGTACTGTCTTACCAATTACCGTATCAGATAATCGTGTAACCTTTTGATCTTTAATATTATAGTGATTCCATATTTATATTGTTTTTGTTAGTGTAGTTTAATGTGTTACGTAGACGCATTATTACGCACATCAGTTTGAACAATGTGTTAATTCACGACACTGTCAAGGTTAGTAACTTTCTTCATCAAACTACCTGCCGCAGTTCAGATTAACCTCTAGAGTGCGTAAACAGAAAAAATGCGGAACAACAAAGTCGATGACTTGTTTGATAAAGCTGCAAAACAATTTAACAGTAGTGGAAAGGCACTAGATGAAGATACGATTCGTCTTCAAAAATGGCTACAAACACAACCGCATCTTCCAAAAATGTTGGGTATGTTTTTAACACACTTTTACCAATAAAACACCGTTCGATTCTAGATTCACAAGCGCTAAAAAATTTTTTACTCCTCAATAAATGCAGTTTTGAGATTACGAAACAAAAAATCGACAACTATTATTCCGTTAGGTCCAGAGTACCAGACATCGCGTTCGAAATGAATCCAAAACGTCCCTACTTCAAGGAATTTAAAGATATGATGTAAAAACAAACAATGAGATTTTATTAAGTAAAAAAATCTTTCTAATTTTAGATACTTCGTGGATTACCCCCAATTAACCGACGAAATGTACAAAATCACTTACTTCAAAGCCAAAGGCGAAATCATCCCAGACAAATACGAACCTGTATATACTATGAGGAAATATCTGGTTATGCAGGAGCTAAAACTGAGATACGACATCATGCATGGAGATATTCTGGTCTTCGACTGCAAAGGACACACCTTAAATATCGCCCTTAAAGCTACACCGGTGCTCATTTATAAAACCATGGTTTTACTCTATCAAGTAACACAAACCGGAATTTAGGTCCAAATACAGTATTAGATTTTTAAATTTTTAGCAAGTTTTCTCCATGCGTATTAAAGCCGTACACGTGATAAACTTGCCACCAGTTTTGAAAACAGCGGTAAATTTAGTCAAATCTTTCCTGAAACCAAAACTTGCCGCAAGGGTAAATGTGCTTTTTGAAAATGATGGTTCGTCGAGACTAATTTAAATTTTCGTTGAAGATTTATATTCACTCAGACGAAGAAGTCTTGAAGACACTCATTCCTTTGAATTTGCTTCCTGTCGATTTTGGAGGGGAGGGATTATCCTTACAAGAACTGGAAGGTAATTTGATTGGAAAATAAGTCTGAAAAAGCCAATAGTAGAAATTTTAGATGACCTAGAAGCTAGGTGTGCCAAAAACCATGAATTGTTTGATCGTTTGGACGAAATTAAAGTTGATGAAAGTTTAAGGCCGGCGAAACTGGAAGATAACGACACCTTAGGGGTTTATGGTAGTTTTAAAAAACTTGATATCGATTGATTTTAATTTAGTTCGATGTTTTTATTTTTGTTTAATTTGTTTCTGTTAAAATTTTAGAACTAAATCATTGTGTGATTTATTTTTATCAATAAACCTGCCATGTAACCTTGACCTCGACTTTGACAACATTCTACTATTTTTGAGAACAGTGTGACTCAAAGAGATATAAACTTTTTAATAAGTAATTCGTGAATTAAAACTCTGCCAAGGTCTCCAGCTACTACGTCAATCTCATTCATAAAGTAAAATAAGACTAGTTTTTGAAAATAAGGAAAATAAAAGTGTTACGAAGTGGATTAGTTTTTTATTTTATTACATCATCGTTTCGAAAATAAATATCGGCAAAATTCTGTTTTCATTTCTCATACATGTTACACAGGTCATCATAAAATACTGCAGTCAACTAACCTATGAAAAACTTTTGAAATGACACAAACGTCAAAACAAATCTGTCAAATGTGTCAAAAATTGAAATGCCAGGTTTGCGGTTTAATTTTATTTTAAATAGACACGAAAATATGCCTAAAGTTATTAACATTTGTAAATTATGATATACATGTGTATAATTATAGGTAATTATAAAAAAAAATCAACTATTCTGTTTAAATAATAAATATCTAAAAATAAATTTTTTAAACAAAGCCAAATTCTAGCATCTTGCTGCTTGGTCAATGCTATTATACAAGGTGATGGCATTGTAAGAATAACTCCTGCAAAACATGGATGTAGAATGTTTAGGTAACAAAAATAACTTACGCCTTGGGTTGCTTCTAGTGGACAAAGGTTTAAATAATTTAACCAAGTCAATAGGTCTACGACTAAGCAGACAACGATGTGTTAAGCTAAGCAGGTGGTAGGAGGCAGTGTTTCCAACATTTAACCCATTCATTTCTTTAAACCTAGAAGATATGTGGTCGTATTATCTAAGTTTAAACACATAACGACAACAAGCATTTTGCACTTTTTGTATACTATTTTTATGCATCTGTCAAGGCAAGTGTAAAATACCGTAATTTAATAAGAAAGAATGCTAAGTGCAAGAGATTTACATAATTTTTTCCTAGTTTTAAAATTGAGTATGAACCTAGACGAATATAACACTTTTAAGCGACTAAACGTATGACGTAGAATATGGCTTACATGTAATTTAAATCTCGTACATTCATCGAGATGAATGCCCAGTATTTTTACAGTTTCCTTCCATGGAATAGTCTTATCATTTATGGTGATGTTTATATTATTTTTTAAGTGGTTTCGATTCTTGACCGATGTAATTAACACAGCATTTGACTTGTTAGTATTCACTGTCAAGTTGTGTCGACAAGAATATTAATATACAGCTACTAAATCTGAAATTAACAATGCAATCGTATTGGTTTCCTCCGATTTAAATTTAAAAACTAAAGAGAAGTCATCAGCATAAGAAAAAATACCACAATTCCTGACAAGATTGGCTATATCCGCAATTAAGATAGTGAACAGAAGCGGCCCCAGGACACTTTCTTGAGGCACACCTGAGGTTACTGCCACAACGTCCGAAAACTTACTACCTATCACCACTTTTTGTCCACGATCACATAGATATGACTTAATTAAACTTACAGACGAATTACACAAACCATAATATGAAAGCTTCCCAAGTAGTAGTTCGTGAGTTATTTTATCGAAAGCTTTGGAGTAATCCATGTCACAAGAATTGACGACAACTTCTAATCTAGATTACGGATTAAAGTATCAGTTAAATGTAGCAAAGCAGTGGTGGTACTGTGATTCTGTCTGAAACCGAACTGATGATTTGGTATAATTTCATTTTCTTCACTATATTTGCGTAACTGTTGCATAAGAACGCGTTCGAAAATCTTAGAAAGAGTAGGCAACAAACTAATTGGACGCAAGTCGCTGGGAGATTCAGGTGATGATACTTTTGGCAGAGGTCTAATTAAAGCCGTTTTCCAAGCAGTAGGAAACTAATCAGCTTCGATGCAGCAACTAATTAAATGAGTAATGTGAGGAAGTATCACAGAGCTGCACAACTGTACCATTTCTAACGAAATTTGATCCAACCCGAAGGCATTAGATTTTAGAGGACGAATAATTAAAGCAATTTCTTCAATTGTTGATAACTGGAAAGTGAAAACTAAATTGTCTTTGAATTTTTGAGAAGAATAAAAATCAGTCATGTTAGGATTAGGAGACACATTCTGAAAAACAGATGCAAAAAAATTGTTAATTGTATTAGGATTATTTAAGTGAGATGGAATTTCAAGACACCTGGTCCTAGTAATGTGTAAGGCATTTAAAGATTTCCAAAATTGTAGACTGTTGTTTTGACCGCACATATTAACCAAGTAAGCCTTTTTCTCTCTTCTGAGAGATGCGAGCGCAAAGTTTCTTAAATTTTTATATTTGTTCCAATTCTCAGGGGTTTTATGTTTTTTATAGTTACTATAAGCTAGGTCTCTTTCACGAAAAATTAGCTTTAACACATCAGTCAACCACGGAGCTTTAGGTTTGGTGATTCTTACGGTACGCAAAGGAGCATGGATGTCGAATAATAGTAAAATGTTTGTTGTCAAAAATTCCAAATTTTCATCTAAAGTAGGAAAGTATAAGACATTATCCCAAGGTATACTTGACAAGTCTAACTGAAAGCGATCATTATTTATTTGCTTTAAATTTCGTAATGTAATATATTTTGGTTTTTGTATCGGCGAACAAATTTTTAAATCAGCAAATACCAGTCTGTGGTCTGATATGCCGTCTGCATTTTTCGTACCTTTGTTCAAGACTAAATCCGGTTTGTTCAAAAAAATATGGTTAACCAAAGCCGCTGATGTAGCAGTGACTCTAGTAGCTTCATCGATAATTTGAAACGTGTCAAAATTAGACATAGAGTCAGTTAGCACATTAGCAATATTTAATAGGTCAATGTTAAGATCACCTACGATTGCAACTATATCGTACTCTGGTATTGCTTGGGACAAAATATCTTCTACTAAGTTAATAGTATTCATTAAATTAAGAATGCTTTTATGATTAACTTTACATTTAAGCCACATATGTTCCATATAATCATTATGATTAACGTCAAATTTAACAGTATCACAATTTATATTATTTCTTACATAAAAACCTACTCCACCTCCTCTTCGCTCATCGGGTCTGCCCATACGAAATAAGTTGTAACCATTCAGACCTACGTCAGCAGAAGTAATTTTATTTGAAAGCCATGTTTCGCTAATCCCAATGAAATCAAAGTTATCTGCGTTAACCAAGTCACAAAAATCGACAAAACTAACTGTAAGTGACCGAACATTTAAATGTGCTATTTTAAAACTTTTTTGAACTTTATGAACCAGAGTCGGTCTTATTTTGTAAATATTTAACTTTATTTCGGTACAGAAAACATTTAGCTTCATCTCCGCAAATATGATTTACGTCTATATTGGAAGATTTGTTTCGTTCGTGGTACTCAAGACAATTGATACATTTTTGCTGATGTGACTGACACTCCTTAGAGTTATGATCTCCAGTACACTTGGCACAAACTAATTTGTTCTCAGTACAGTTACTTGCCATATAACCAAATCTGGAACATTTGTAACAGCGTGTAATCTGCAAATGATCGGTACAAGAGCATAAGCTCCACCCCACGTATATTTTACCACCTAAATTTCTAAATATTTTTTGGCGCAAATTATTAGTAACTTGTATTACAAAGTTATAAGTATATTTCGACTTAACTAACTCATCATCGTTCATTTCTAATATGTTTTTGCCACCTCCTTTGACAAATAGACGTGGGTTCCATTTTTTGGGTTTTCGATGACGTATTCTTGGCTAAGTGACGTTTTCAATTCATTCATTAGTATGTCACGCGAACAGTCGCTATCACATTTGACAAGAAGACCAGTATTTAACACTTTCGTCGAATTAATTCTCACATTCAACTCCTGTGGTTTTACCTTATGATAAATTGTTTCCAATACTTTATCAGGCTTTATTTTCGTTGAACCTTGGTACTTAATAAAAATATCGGCGGAGTTTTTGCAACTTGCTGTAGTTTTTGCGGTATCTGCATACGAAGGCTGTTTATTAAATGAGTTGATGCTCTCTATTTTTTCAGTTTGAAAATGGTTCACCCTTTCAAGTTGATCAACTAATTTCTGGTCACTTGTTCTTGGAAAGCACGTTTTTCGTATTCTAATGTGGCTGCAGATTTATGCACATCGTCGAGTGCTGATTCACAAGATTTACAGTACCACTCATCTTCTCTGATACACACCAATTTGGCCAGATTTTCGAAACACTTAATATGGAGCAGAACACTGCACTTTTTACATTTAATTCGAGCTGTATTTATCATTCACCGCAATGCCCTACATAAATCGGTGTAAAATTGCGTAAAATCATTGTCGGAACTAATGTTTAATAAAGTCTGTTTACTGGATTTATTCTCGTTCTGTTTATGTGCATCGCCACTGCAGTGTTCAAAGTGTGATTTTTTTTCGCACTTAAACTAGGAAACAAAGGGCGTTGTTTACAACCCATTTTTAAACAATCTGCCAGCCAAAGCATTGAATTCACGGAAAATCTCTATTGTGCAAGCACGTCCGTTTCGTTGGTCGTGGAATCCTATTTTAAGCCTTTTAAAGTTTACAATTAGGTCATTTAATAATAATAATAATAATAATAATAATAATAATAATAATCAATGCATATCATTACTTGGTCTTAGTACCCGTAATGATAGAAGTCTTGCCTGAATGCCGGTCATTTCCGGGTCAGTGGTGGGTCTTAATATAATAATATGTTTAATAATAACATGTTTATTGCCCAACAGCTCACACGAACCTATTACAGAGCAATTGATACAAACTAAAGTATTACTAATACAAAAAAAAAAGAAAAGTAAATAAATAAGTACAAATAAATATACCGGATACCTGAATAATAAGTCTAAATTAAGAGTTACTTAGCAAGTAGAAAACAGACGAAAAAGATAATATAAAGTAAAAAAAAAAATAATAATAATAATAATTCTAAACATAAGTGATAATTAATAATTACTCTCTTGCGAAGATACTTAAAGCTAAATACTTAAGATCTTTTAGATTTATATTAAAAATGTCACAATCTCTCAGTTTGTTGTTAAAATTACTACACATAACATTAATCGGGCTTTTTACCAAAATATTTGTGCGAGCGGTGGATAGATGCCAAAGTAAAGAGTGTCTGTTATTTACACGTGGTACATGAAAGAAGATTTTGGCCAAAAGTTCACTGCAGTGAATTTTATAATTGACGATTTTAAAAAGAAACATTACAGCACTAACTTCTCTACTAGCATGTAAAGACGGTATGTTCAACTCTCTTTGAACTATCAAATTGTCACATCCTCTAGCAGGGTAGGTGCCATATTTTTTAAACCATAAATATTTAAGACATTTTTTTTGAACTGATTCGATGACATTAATATAGCAATAATAGATTGGATACCAAATTAGGCAGCCATACTGTAAGCGTGATATAATGTACGTATTAAACAGCATTTTCATAGGTTCAGTAGAAGTGAAGTCACGACATTGTCTAATTATAAGTCCAAGCAAAGAGAGTGAATGTTTTACTACTTCATCAATATGGAACCGAAAAGAGAGCCGAGAATCAAAATAAATTCCCAAATCTTTTACAACATCACACCTGGTGACGTGTTCTCCATTTATTGTGTAATCAAATACAATAAGAGATTTTTTATTACCAAATGACACAATTTTACATTTACTAATATTCAAGAAGAAGTTATTATTAGAACACCAAATTGTAAGTTTATGTAACTCCTCCTGAAGTTGCAAAGTATCATTAAGATCATTTATAATACAAAAAAGCTTAGCATCATCTGCATATAATAGAATGTGACAATTCAGTGAATCAGGGAGATCATTGATAAAAACAGAAAAAAGTAGGGGCCCAAGATTGAAACCCTGGGGAACACCGGATACTGCCTTAAAGAAGAATGATGAAAAACCATTGTGAAAAACGTATTGCAATCTATCACTTAAATATGACCTTATAAATTCCAAAAGTTTACCAGAAAAAACCGTACGATTCTAACTTTAACAATAATAACCTGTGATGAATTCGGTCGAAGGCCTTTGCAAAGTCTGTGTAAACGGTGTCAACTTGGGACTGATTGTCAAGTGCCTTTGAAAGAAATTGTGAAAAACATGTGAGATTTGTTTCAGTGGAGCGTTTACTCATAAAACCATGCTGTTGAGGCGTTATGTAATTCTGAATATGAAAATAGATATGCGAGTACAGAACTATCTCAAAGATTTTAGCGAAGTTTGAAATTATGGATATTGGTCGATAATTACCGGCATTCGATTTTTCACCTGATTTAAATATCGGAGTAACTTTAGAGGTTTTCCATTTTGAGGGAAAAGGACCAGTATTAAGAGCAACATTAAAGATTATTGACAGAGGCTGGACAAACAAACCTGCACCGTCACGTAATAGAAAGCTTGGTATTTGATCTGGCCCTGCTGTAAAAGAATTTTTAATATTACGTAAAGCAGACAAGATGTCTTTATCAGTGATTTTACTGATATTTATGGGAAGAGAGTGAACTCCAGTTGTAAATTTTTGTGACGATGAATTTTGCGACGAAGTGTAAGAAGTCTAAAAATACATAGCGAATGCATTAACTATCTCATTAGGTGAATTTAATATATTATCATTGTAAGCCATCTTATCCGGAATTCTTGTAAGACCTTTCTTTGATTTAACATAAGACCAAAATATTTTAGGATCTTTGGAAATATTTGTTTGCATAGAGTCAGTATATTTTTTGTAAGCAGCTATTATTTGGTTTTTAATAATCTTACGGTAATATTTAAATTTAGAGTAGTAAAATTCGTTAAGTGACTGTTTAAATTTTTTGTGATAATAAGATTTAAATTTAATATTTTTAATAATAGAGAGATCGAACCAAGGTGGATAATGTACTTTATCTTGATGATTATGATATACTGGAACATGCTTATCCAAAACTTGATATAAAATGTCATAAAAACGCTCGGTTAGAATATCAACGTCATCAGAAGTATTTAAAACTGACCAATCAATGTTGCATAGATCATGATAGAGGAAGTGAAACCTGGCTTTTTTAAAGTTATATACACTAGTATTAGGTGAATTATATATTAGTAGGGAAGCTATTAAATGTAGTGTTAGTTATGTTAACCACAATAGAGAGAGCAGGGTGGTTGCTGTCCACTACAACTAAAGGGGAATCATCGTGTTTGACAGAACAATCAACATTGGCAAAAACAAGATCTAGTAGCCTGCTGTTTCTATTTTTAATAACATTGTATTGCTCTAAATTTAAAAATTTACAAAAATTATTCAGAGTATTAACAAGAATATTATCATTGTTTATTATGCATTCTGGAACGTTAAAATCACCCAGTAATAAGAAATTTTCATTTGTATTAAAGTTATCTTCAAAATATTCACAAAACCTTAACAATTCATTAAGTGATGGAGTTCTAGAAAAATAAACACCAAAAATGTGTCAGAAGGTACCATTTGAAAAACATTTACAACCTACAATTGCAATCATATCTAGATCATTCCGTAATTGACTTAAATCAACAATTGTCACAGGTATATGGGTTCTCAAAACAAGCAAAACACCACCTCCTCTGTACAAGTTCAATGCATTATAATTACGGTCACATCTAAAAATTGTATATAAGTGAGGAGGGAAAATTTCGGAATCAGAAATAGAGTCTTGTAACCAAGTCTCTGTGATGCAAATAATGTCATAAGTTAAATCTAAAACCGAAATTGAAAGTTGGCTTAGTTTGTTTCGAATACTCCGTGTATTTTGATAATATAAAGAAATAGATGAAACGTTGGGCTTTACGATTTTAAATAACTGGATACTTTTATAATGCGCGGAATACCTTTGACGAACTTAATTTGAAGATCGCTCTCCCCTTCAGCTTCTCTACGTTGTAACTCTTGCTTCACATTCCGAAAATATGCATTTTGTTTCGGCGTTTTGTCAGAGGATACCTTTACATTATGAAAACGCTGACTGTTCTGTATTCTGTTACGGTTTTCTTTTACCTTACGCAACGCAGAAAGGACATGGTCCGGATTATCCAGAATAATACGAATAGGACGCGGTAGGGACCTATTGGGATCAAATTTGCCTAGTCGATTACACTTAAGGACAGTTGTAGTTGGTTCATCCGTATTTCCGAATTCGGCCAAAAATTCTTTCACGTAATCTAAGTCCTTAGAGATCTTTACTGCGGGCGGCAATGTGGATGATTGTTCAGGAATACCATAAAATATCAAATTAGATTTACGAATCTGACGATCAGTCACTTCTTGAACAATTTCTTCGTAGTTGGTATCAGCGGGGACATTTTTCGCTTCCAGTAGTTGTTCTTGTAGAGTTTTTACCGAGTCTGATAACTTATCAATCAGTAACTTAAGTTGAGGAATAATTTCACAGCACTTGCAAGGAGATGCGGTGTTTGATTTTACAAGATTTCTGCAAGTATGACACTTCCATTCAAGACCGGTTATAGATTTAAAATTGTCGTATTGGCCCTTAGATATGTCTACACATTTAATGTGATAACACACACCACACTGCGAACATTTTAGTCCTGGGACTGTGGGAGTTATGAAATTATCGCACGCGCCACACGTTTGTGGCATCTTGACACACTCAGATTAAAAATTTATAAAAGTTTTTACAACTATGCCGAAAAATGTAGATAATTTGACAAAGAAATTAGCGCAGCACCAAGAATACGTCTGCACAGGTCAACGGTGGCGACTATTTTCTTTAATATTTTATTTATTTTTTTATTAACACTTTACGTCTCTAACGGTAAATTAGGCATTTTAGAATCATCAGAATTTTTTAAATTCGGATAAATATATAATTTTCGCTGCAATGCCTGAAGTAGATATAAAAAGACAAAAAACCTAAGATCAGAAGCCTAGTGATGAATTACACCTTGGAAAATCGATTAGAGTTGAACAGAATAAATCATCTGGTCTGTTTTGCAAAGAAACAGTAATTTTTCGAATAATGAAATCCAAAAAGTGAGGTTAAATTTGTCAAAACCAATGAACACGGTAATTAATTAAAAAATTACAATTTTGTAGGTACTCTGAAGGTAAAAATTGTGAAAAGTCATGTAATGGACAATAGCAGAGCAAGTCTGAGCACAATTGAAGAACAGTACCACTGTTTTAAAATGGCAATGAGTAGGTTTTGCTTTAAATAATTTTGCTAAAATTGTGATCCCGAAAGTTCAGTTTGTAAATTGCAAAGAATCGTCAAAACATTGTGCAGACGTGATTTGAAACCGGTGCTTTTCTCTTGAAAAAACACAACTGAAAGCCTTGATCTTCGTCCCTACAATAGGTGAAAACTGCCATGTCCAAACATTACCTTCAGCCTTGCAGTTTCTAGATATCTGAAACACATGTGTAACAAGAATGTCAAAGAAATTCTACCCAAAAGACACCCACATGGCCATCTTAACATCAAGATTTTACAAAAATAAAAAACATGAAAAAAACTGTTTTTTGAGACACTTAAAAGAGAAGACAGCAAACGAAAACAAGACAACTCAATTAATGAACAAAGTGTGGGAAAACGCACCAGTAATCAGTAAAAACGAAAAAATGTCTGTTTTTTTTTTAGTTTATAAATAAATGACTTATAGGCGATTGAAAAATTAACTTATTTTAAAATAAGCTTAAATATTTGGAAACAAAAATTATAAAAAAACTTTACATGGTTTTTCAGCACTAAATAATCTGTTAAAATCACTACAGTAATTACAAACAATTTGATCAACTGTGTAATTATTAATTAAGGAGTAGGTAATTCTCGAGGTGAAAAAATATCAGACTGTATCATTGTTTCAGTTGACAATGCTGTCAGCTCGTATCTTGTAACGTATTTTTTAAGATATCAAACTTTTAATAATTTTGGCATATTACCGTATAGCCTTTTGAACTTTGATCTTATATTGATAAAAATATCTTTTATTTTTACAGCGTAATCTGCTGTGTTGTGTAGATGCATTTTTATACCAGTTTGAACAGTTAACACTTAATTCACGACGCCATCAAGGTTAGTAACTTTTTTTTTATCAAACTACTTCCATACCTGCTGCAATTCATACTAAAATTTAAACCGCATAAGCAGCGAAAAATGTCGAACGACAAGATCGATGATTTGTTTGATAAAGCTGCGAAACAATTTAACAGTAGTGGAAAAGCACTAGATCAAGATACGGTTCGTCTTCAAGAATGGCTGGAAACACAACCGCATCTTCCAAAAATGTTGGGTACGTTTTTAACACACTTTTACCAATAAGATATCGTTTGCTTCCAGACGCACAAGCTCTAAAAAATTTTTTACTCCTCAATAAATGCAGTTTCGAGATTACGAAACAAAAAATCGACAACTACTATTCCGCTAGGTCAAAAGTACCAGAGATAGCGTTCGAAATGAATCCAAAACGTCCCTACTTTAAGGAATTTAAGGATATGATGTAAATGAACTCTGCGGAGATAGGGATAACGAAACTGGAGCAAAAACATATTGGTCTCACCGAAATTGAATTTTTGCTGCAGTTTTGGGACACCTGGTGTACAAAATACGTCACATTTGTAAAATTTTAGATATTTCGTGGATTACCCCCAATTAACGGACGAAATGTACAAAATTACTTATTTCAAACCAAAAGGGGAAATCATCCCAGACAAGTACGAACCTGTATACACCACGAGGAAATATCTTGTTATGCAGGAGCTAAGACTGAGGTGCGACGTGATGCATGGGGATATTCTGGTCTTCGATTGCAAAGGACACACGTTAAATATCGCTCTGAAAGCTACACCGGTGTTCATTTATAAAACCATGGTGTTACTCTATCAAGTAAAACAAACCGGGATTTAGGTCCAAATAAGTTAGGTGTCACTTTTTTAAATTTTTAGCAAATTTTCTCCATGCGTGTTAAGGCCGTACACGTAATAAACATGCCACCATTTGTCAAAACAGTAATAAATTTAATAAAAGGTGTCTTGAAGCCAAAACTTGCCGCAAGGGTAAACGTACTTTTTGAAAATGACGGTTCGTCTAGACTAATTTAAATTTTGTTGAAGATTTATATTCACTCAGACGAAGAAGTCTTGAAGAAACTCATTCCTCTGAACTTGCTTCCTGTCGATTTTGGAGGGGAGGGATTGTCCTTACAAGAACTGGAAGGTAAGTTGACTGGAAAATAAAACTGAAAAAGATAATCGTGAACATTGTAGATGATCTAGAAGCACGGTGTGTGAAAAACCAGGAGTTGTTTGATCGTTTGGATGAAATTAAAGTAGATGAAAGTTTGAGGCCGGCGAAACTGGAAGATGACGACACCTTAGGGGTCTATGGTAGTTTTAAAAAACTAGATATCGATTGAAGCAAAAAATAGGGACTTTTTTATTTTTGTTTAGTTTTTTGACGACAATGTTAAATAAAAACTTTCAAGTTTTAAAATTTCTGAATTAAATTATGCGATTCATTTTTTATTAACACAGCTGCCATCTAATACTTTCATCCTCCACCTTGACCTTAGTCTATCATTTTCGGAAAGAGTGTGACTCAAAGAGATAAAAACTCTTCCACGATGGTATAATTCGTCAATAATTAAAATTTTCCCAAGGTCCTCACTTACTTCGTTAATCCCACAAGGTAAAGTAAAACGAGTTTTGGCTCAAAACGAAATAAAAGTGGTGTTAAACTGGTCAGTGTTTTATTTTGTTTTATTTTTTTTATTACATCATCGTTTCGGAAATGAATACCAACAAAATCAGTCATATGTAGAAAACTAGTGTTAATTGTACTAGAGTTCGGTTCCAGATTTACAAGCAGTGAAAAATTGCTTCAGTGTAACTGAAATAAATGCGACACTCCACTATCTCAAGGATGTGGGACCTCCTAAAAAAAGTGTACTGAAACCAAAACTTCTCAAAAAGGATTCTTGAGAGTAAGGAATAATTCGAACTTTTCTTGAAATTTAAGATGCTTTTAGGCAAGTAAGGCAATTTCAGTTTCTCGGGTTTTCAATTTTTCAGTTTTCCATGTGCAATTTTTCGTTTCAGTTTTTTATTTTCTTTATTTTTCAATTTCTCAATGTACCGATTGTACAATTTTTTGTTGCTTCAATTCCACTTTTTTGCAATTTTTCGTTTCGTCAGTTTTTCAATTTGCAATTTTCCAATTTTGCGTTTTATTTTTTCTTTAATTTTACGATATCTCTTTTTCAGTTTTCCGATTTCCCAACTTTTGGACGTTTTAGTTTTTAGATTTTGCAGTTTTTCATTTCATCAGTTTTTCGAGAAAATCCAGAAAGCTTAATTTATTCTTCGTGACTTACAGAAGGAATACAGTCCAAAATTATTGATAATAGATTGACTTTATTTTTTTAAATATAATATCTCTTATTCTTTGCGGCAAAAAATTGTTGAAATAAAACTATATAAAGAAAAAAACCAAAGATTAAACCCCACCCACCCACCCCGATCTCATTTGTGATGAGTTTTTCATTCCTAATCAGACGAGGAGCGGAATTTAAATGTAACATATTATTGATTCCTCTAGAAAATTCTACCCTTTTAAAAACATACATATATTTCATGTGACAATTTGTTGTAGAGAAATGAGGATTTTACAATTACACTCCACCCTTAGTTTTTTAATTTTTCAAATTTTTAGTTTTTTTTTTCAATTTTTTTAGGTTTTAATTTCTTTTTCACTTTTTTGACTTTTTGTTCTTTTAATTTTTTCCATTCTTCAGTTTTTCTTTCATTTTTCAATTTTTCGCAATTTCAGTTTTGGAATTTTTCAATTTTTCGATTTCTTAATTTTTCTATGTTTCAGTTTTACGTTTTTTCAACTTTTCTCTTCAATTTTGCAATTTTTAAATATTTCGACTTTTCAAAATTCTCAATTTTTCGATTTTCCAATTAATCGATGTTTTGATTTTTCCATTTCTTGACTTTCGACTGTTTCGATTTTCCTGTTCTTCAATTTTTCGATTTTTCAGGTTTTTGATGTTTAATTTTTCTATTTTTTCAGGTTCTTCGACTTCGCTTTTTTGATTTTTCGATTTCTCTAATTTTTAATTTTCTAATTTCTCAGTTTTTGGATATTTCAGTCTTAGGATTTTTCAGTTTTTCTTCCATTTTTCAATTTTTCGATTTTCAATTTTCCGATGTTTCAGTTTCAGGTTTTTCAGTTTTTGACATTTCTAAATTCTCAATCTTTTGATTTTTCAATTAATGGATGTTTTGATTTTCCCATTTATTGACTTTCGACTGTTTCAATTTTCCAGTTCTTCAATTCTTCAATTTTTCGATTTTTCAGGTTCTTGATTTTTCGATTTTTCGATTTTTTTAATGTTTCGATTTTTCGACTTAACTTTTCTGATTTTCCGGTTTCTTAATTTTGAATTTTTTAGATTCTCATTTTTTGAATTTTTCAGTTTTACTTTCATTTTTCAGTTTTACTTTCATTTTTCAGTTTTTCGATATTTCAATTTTCGATCTTTGACTTCTGGATTTTTCGATGTGTCGATTTTACTACTTTTTCAATTTTTTTATTTTTGAATTTCAGATTTTTTCAAGTTTTCGATATTTTAATTTTTCAATTTTTAAAATTTTAGGTTTCATGATTTCTCGATTTTTCGATTTTTAAATATTTCGATTTTTTAATTTTTAGCTTTTCAAAATTAATCGATGTTTTTCCTATTTCTTAACTTTCGACAGTTTCCATTTTTCCGTTCTTTAATTTTTCGATTTTTCAGGTTTTTGACTTTTATTTTTCTATTTTTTGAGGTCTCGATTCTTCGACCTCCCTTTTTGGATGTTTCGATTTCTCAAATTTTTATTTTCCAATTTCTCAGTCTTTGGATATTTCAGTCTTAGGATTTTTCAGCTTTTCTTCCATTTTTCAATTTTTCGAAATTTCAGCTTTGGGATTTTTCAAGGTATTTATTATTCAATGTTTCGATATTCCAATTCTTCAAATTTGACTTTTACAAATTCTTGGTTATTCGATTTTTCATTTCTTCAATTCAATTTTTCAAATTTTTAGATTTTGATTTAATTTTTTTGATTTTTGGATTTTTCCATTTTATATTAATTTCCCATTTTTTCGATACATATTTCAATTTTGAGATTTTTCGGTTTTCCATTCTTCAGTTTTTCTTTCATTGTTCAATTTTTCGATTTCTCAATTTTTTTTTTTTAGTTTTTGACTTTTCTAAATTCTCAATCTTTTGATTTTTCAATTACTGGATGTTTTGATTTTCTCATTTATTGGCTTTCGACTGTTTCAATTTTCCAGTTCTTCAATTCTTCAATTTTTTGATTTCTCAATTTTTCAATTTTTTAGATTCTCATTTTTTGAATTTTTCAGTTTTTCTTTCATTTTTCAATTCTTCGATTTTGGACTTCTGGATTTTTCAATGTGTCGATTTTTTTATTTTCCAATTTTTTTATTTTTGAATTTCAGACTTTTCAATTTTTTGATATTTTAATTTTTCAATTTTTAAAATTTAAGGTCGTTTTTCGATTTCTCGATTTTTCATTTCAGTACTTCGATGTTTCAATTTTTCGTGTTTTGGAATTTTTAAATGTTTCGATTTTTCGACTTCCCAGATTAAGATTTTCTGATTGTCCATTTTTCGTTTTTTCAAATTTTCGATTTTTAAAGTTGTTCTGTTTTTCAGTGTTTTGATTTGTCGATTTATTGGGATTTCCGGTTTCTTAGTTTTTGCATTTTTCCGGTTTTTCGTTTTCTTATTTTTACGCTTTAGATTTTTCCAAACTATCCTGTTGTTGAAAGAAAACTATATATAATAAAAATAAAAAAATAAGCCCCACCCACCCGCCCCGATCTCAATTGTGATGAAATTTTCATTCCCAATCAGATCAAAGGGCGGGCGGAGTTTAAATGTAACATCAACATTTCTCAAAAAAATTCTACCGTTTTAAAAACATATGTCATATGGTAATTTGTTGTAGAAAAATGAGGATTTTGCAACTAAACTCCGCCCTTCAGCTCAAGGTGCATAAAGCATTCATCACAATTGAGAAGGGGTGGGTGGGCGGGGTTTATATTTGGTCCATTTCTTCTTAATATAAGAAGTCTTCTTTTCTCAACAAAAAACTGACAATATGTTAACTATCTTGTTGCACCCTGGTGTTGAAAGAAAACTCTATATACAGGGTCATCAAAATTGATTGAGAGAGTTGGTACCCCCTGTTTCTGTCGTGAAGTTTGTCAACCTTATGACAGATTTGTTTAAGGTTATATGGCAATGAATTCAGTGGCGTGACAAAAATTAGAAACTTCAAATCTGACAATTAATGTTTTTACCAAAAAAAAAAGTCGAAAAAAGACGCCACTGAGTTTTGAAATTTGAAACTTGAAACTTCAAATCTGACAGCTAATATTTTTATACAACTTAATAAACCAAATTATTCAAGTTCAGGTTTACCAACTCTCTCAATCAATTTTGATGACTCTGTATTAAAAAAAAAAAGAAAAATTAAGCCCCACCCACCCGCCCCGACCTCAATCGTGATAAGTTTTTAATTCCGAATCAGACCGAAGGGCAGAGTTTAATTGTAACATCAATATTTCTCTAAAAAATTTTACTCTTTCAAAAACATATTTCTTATGGTAATTTGTTGTATCGAAATGAGAATTTTGCAACTAAACTCCGTCCTTCAGCTCACGGTGAATAAAGCATTCATTACAATTGAGAAGGGGTGGGTGGGCGGGGTCAATTTTTCCTTAACATACCAAGTCTTTTTTTCCCGACAAGAAACTGACAATATGTTTAACTATCCTGTTGTTGAAGAAAACTCTATATATTAAAAAAAAAAAAACAAAAATTAAGCTCCACCCACCCGCCCCGATCTCAGTTGTGATGAGTTTTTCATTCGTAATCAGACCAAAGGGCGGACGGAGTTTAAATGTAACATCAATATTATTTCTATAAAAAATTTTACCCTATTAAAAACATATTTCATATAGTAATTTTTTGGAGAGAAATGAGTATTTTGCAACTAAACTCCGCCCTTCAGCTCAAGGTGCATAAAGCATTCATCACAATTGAGAACGGGTGGGTGGGTGGGGTTTATATTTCGTCCATTTTTTCTTAACATACAAAGTCTTTTTTTCCCGACAAGAAACTGACAATATGTTTAACTATCCTGTTAAAAAAAAATTCTAAATATTTAAAAAAAACTAAGATTATACGTTATAATGCCCCTAACATAAAAGTTTCAAAGCCCCGCACCGTATGTCAAAATTCTGCACTTTATTGTATGCGAGCCGGACTCACTGAACGTATTACAATTAGGTTAAAAAAACAGAATTTCAAAAATTATATTTATATACTTACCTATTTACGAACGGACCAAAATTAAAATAAATTATTCATTGTCTTCTTCGCTGCTGTCATTTAAATATATATCTATATAACA